AGCTGTTTTACATTGACAATTTATTGATGAATAAATTGACGAAGTTCTTCATGAATTAATTCACGAATTTATTGGTAAACAGTGTGGTTTTACACTGCTACAGACTTTGTCAAGTTTTTTGACGTATGAATCAGTTCTACCAATGAATCAAAGAAGCAAATAAATTTCAAAAATGTCACCTTTCCAGTTATAAATGTAGTGATACAACAGCGGTACCGTTCTGACACATATTATATAAATATTAGTGTTTGTAAGTAACAAATCAGTAAAAACAATGCAAAACTGGTATGACGCCACACAATTATTTACATATTCCAATAACATAACCTCATTTCTGATCTGAGGCTGGAAATCTGTTGGATTGGTACTTTTGAACTTCACGAAGAAATTGACGAAAATTAGAACATGCTCTAATTCGTCAAGAATAAATTCATGAAGTTATTTGACAGCAGATTTGGTACATTACACTTGTCCAATTTCTTGATGAAGCGACTTCATGAATTAATTGATCGATAAATTGTCAATGTAAAACAGCTATTATAAGGGGCAGAGACGAACCGTATTTTATCAAATGTTATTAAAAAATGCAGTCATAGATGGCTCATGTCTTTGTTTAAAATAAAATAATGATAGATGACACATCTTAGCTTTCCAATAATTAAAGTTTTATCAGTTTGCGTCTTTCAATTTAACTTCACTAGTTATACAATACAATATTTTAAAAGAATATTTTGTCTCGGTGTGATTTAGATAAAATAATAGATTTTCATACAATGCATATTAAAGTTGACATATCTCGAAAACAAGTAAATATAGGGAAAAACTTTATATTACCAAACTTACTCAAAATTTAACGATCTTTCAAATGGAATGCATTTCCACGTTCCAGGGATCAAAAAATTTTTTAGTATCGTCACGTCATCTATACAAAAAATTTGAACTGACAGTTCTAACTACAATTTGAAGCTATTCGAGGGACCTAACAACCCCAATTTCTGAAACTTAAATAAATTCCTTCATTACGGAGATATTGGCAGCGGAAGTGTTAATTGGCACACCCTGTATAACACATTTACTGGTGCTTTAGTTAAAATAACAGCAAAATGCTTGAAATATATAATTTTGTATTTGATCTTTTTTGAAAAGCAAAGAATCAAGTATATTTTTTTTTATATTCAATGAACGGAAATTCTCCGTGCCTATTTCACTTTCAAATACAACAAAATGGCTGAAACAATTTCATTCAAATCTCGTATGCATGTACATTTAATTTCTAACTGTCTACATGTATATGTATTAATTCAAATATACTTAACATTTAACTTGAAATTTTACTCGAAATAAATCATAACTTTTCATTAATATAAAAATACTCTCTCTATCTTAGAAATGAAGTATTTCTGGACATATATTTGTAGGAACTTTTGTTTTGTAGGTTTTAAATAATTTACGGCATAGAATTTGTTATTCAAGTTTGGTCAGGTGTTATAGCTACATTATAATTATAATTTACACAAAAAAAATGGAATAAAAGTTTATAGAAATATTTTTTTTTGTATAAAATTTGCTCACCATAGCCGTAAAATTTTTACTACTAATAAGCTAGCAAAATTTGAAATATGAATAGTCCTAATAAACTAGCAGAATACTTACCGCATCACATTCCACAGTAGGAGGATTTTTATAATCTGGAGGAGGTTGAGGTAGGGTTTTAACGATGCTATTGTCACCATTTGTATTAGTGCTCTCATGGTTCCAAATTTCATCACTTTCAGTTTCTTCTTCTTCTTCTTCCTCCAAACCATCTTCGTAAAACTGTTCTGATGACTGAATTGGTTTTTCAGCCCCAGGCAAAAGATAACAAATTTTCTCCATCCTCTTTACTATCTAAAAATTATATGTACTGCTTAATATTTCACATTACGTTAAGATTTAACATTTACTAATTATATGACTGGAATAGCAATTCATTTAAGTTCAAAATTGATAAATGTGAGTTTATATTACTAAATGTTCAAATTACAGTATAAAAATTTCCATAATCCTTTTATTAACAGTTTGTTAAACAATGATCAGTTAATTATAAATACTTCAAAATACTATGTAGGATTATTTACAAATTTAGAATAGTAGAATAGTAAATAACATACAATGTACACAATATATTATGTACATAAAAAAATATACGAGGGTGGCCTTTTTTTCGGGAATGGATGATCTGACAACCGACAACCCTACTGCCCTAATAAAGTTCGACTTTTTGTTGGTATACTTACTAAGAAGTTTTGATATACAGGCACTATTTGTGTTGGAATTAAATCCTGAATATTTCCGTGTGATTATCTTTTACAACTTTCGTCGTGTATTATCTAAACAAAAAGATAGACATCGACTTGCATCGACGAGTTTAGTTCTACTTTTGGTGATGAAGCACCATCAAAAAACCACTGTAATCGGTGGTATACAGTATTCAATATTGCAAGATTGTCATATGACTTATCGTGAGATTGAGGCATCCTTGGACATTAGTGGGACCAGCATACATCCAATATTGCATGAACATTTGACGGCCAAAACATTTTATTCACATTGGATTCCACATAATTTGACAAACACTCAAAAAAAAAGCTTGTGTCAATCGGTTGAAAGAAATACTCAAGAAATACAATTGCGGTGCTTCAAAACAAGTATATGACATCATAACAGGTGACAAATCATGGATCTATATGTATGAGCCCGAAAGTAAATAGCAGTCGACTCTATGAGTCTTTCAGGATGAGCCAAACCCAACAAAAGTCATTCGTGCACAAAACACTTCTAAACAAATGATCGTCTGTTTTTTCAGAAATATGTAGTAACTGTACCATTAGTTAAACGTCGGACGGTCAATTCTGAATGGTACACAACCATTTTTTATTTGTTTGGAAAGATAATTGAAACAAACCGTCGAAGATACATTATTCTCCACTAGGATAATGCAAGCTCTCACACATCGGCCTAAACAAGACTTTTTGAGTTGAAAAAGTCGAATTGATGAGACATCAGCAGTACAGCCCTGATTTGGCACCAAGGGACTTTTTTTATTCTCGCACATCAAAAATAATTTACGAGATTTTTTTTTCGATTTTTTTTAAGGTACCTCAATCGAAATGGAAAAAGTGCTTCAAAAATTGGTTCAATGGCATGTGAAAGTATGTTGATCTTCATCAAGAATATTTTGAAAAACAATAAAGCCATAATATAATGATTCATTCCTTCTTTGTTCTCGATCCCCGATATATAAAAGGCAACCCTCGTGTAACAATTATACAAAGATACAAAAAAAAAACTCATTCACATATATACAACTGCTTTTACAAAGGTGTAGACAAATAAGTAAAAAAAGTCTAAGGAGGTGAATCCTCATTGAAGATTACAGGGTTTATTTTCATGTAAAAAAATATCTGCCTCCTCTCTGTATATTTATGGCGCTTCAAATAAGAGGGACAAAGAGTAACCGCAAAAAATCCCATTTTTTCGCCTGTTTTTGCGTAGTGTGTAGCAAGAACGGGGAAGGTCGTCCAGAGGTCTCCGTGGGCTTAAATTGATCATCATGAAAAATCAAGGTGAGCATAATTCGATTTTTCCAATATTTGTCCGACTTACCCCTACTTAAGGGGTGGAAACCACCCCTAAAACAAGAAACATGAGAAAATGGTCGATCAATTCTTGGTAAAAATTGGCGGGAATTTGAATGGCAAGGAAGAGATCAGGGATGTTCTTCCAAATATGCTCAAGGTGAAAAACATCCCCCACGTGGGGGTAAAACCACCCCTATTGCCGAAAACCGGCGGCAAATGATGTTCCCTTCATGAATTGCCTTTTTTGTGCCACTCTTCCTTATAAATCCAAATGATATGAAATACATGCCCCCATAATTCGTTCTTCTGTCGGATTCTGATCATTTACCCCTACTGAAGGGGTGGAAACCACCCCTAAAACAAGAAATCAGAAAAAATGGTCACCAAAATCTGGGTAAAAATTGGCGGAATTCCACATGGCAAGGGTAACATCAAGAATGCCCTCCTAAAAATGCTCAAGGTGAAAAACACCCCCCGCATGGGGGTAAAACCACTCCTATTGCCGATAGCAGACGGGGAATGATATCCACTTCATGAAGTACTTTGTTTCCCCTACTACCCGACAAATGATACGAAAGACGGGCCCCATAATTCGATCTTTTGTTTTACCCCCACGCGGGGGGGGGGGGTTTATCATGAGCATTTTTAGAAAGACATTCCTGATTTTACCCTTGCCATGTGAAATTCCCCCAATTTTACCAAAAATTTATCGACTATTTTCTCATTTTTCTTGTTTTAGAGGTGGTTTCCACCCCTTAAGTAGGGGTAAGTCAGGCAAATATTGGAAAAATCGAATTATGCTCACCTAGATTTTTCATGACGATCAATTTAAGCCCACAGAGACCTCTGTACAACCTTCCCCGTTCTTGCTACAAACTACGCAAAAACGGGCGGATTTTGCGGTCACTCTTTAGTTTAAAATTTTTTCCTTCCTTTTCCAATTTGACTGTGTAGATTATATCTCACCCAGCACCTTTTGCGTATTTAAACCTTTTCGAAAATCATATTGGAAGCAGGATATTATTATGTATTCCTTTAAACAGTTTATGATTCTGGACTTTTTCAAGAATTTTATTAAATTAAATATTACTTTTCATGTATAAATAATGGTTTTTTATTAACTAAATTTATATCTTACATAATTTATACAATTAAAAAAATATATTTAGAGCTAAGAACTACATTTGTTTTCAGATACAAAAAATTTATCTGAAGATGGAGTGTATAATGTAGACTGAAACTAGTTGTCATTTAACAAACTGATAACAAAAACATTGTAAAGAATTATAATATGTATGTACATCAAGGAATATATGGCTTTTTTATTGGTTAAAATGTGCACCGGGTGAGAGATTTATTAGTTTTCATCAGATCAATTACTTGCTTTCAAATGTTATTTTACTGATACCGGGCACTAAATCAAATAGTCCCTGTAGTTACTTTATGCAATATTTCTGCCATAGAAAAGAAACATTTTTAAATAATTAATTTTATTAAAAGAATCAGTCAAAGGGTTGACTTTATAAATTTGCTTTTGCTTAATAAGAGGGACTTATAACGGGACACTGTCACTTTAGGAAACATCTATACAAGCTAAGGCTTGCAGACAGTCTGGTCTGCCGAGTATATGACTCGACGGATGAAACTTCTTTGCATATCCTGGGCGAGTGTCCAGAATTTGCACGTAGGGAAAACACTTTCTGGAACCCAAGGAGCTGAGAGAAGTGTCGGCAAAAAAGCTTTTGTAATTTGTAAAAGGGACAAAACTATTTGCTGAATAGGTTTAAACAGTGAGACACACAATAGCCTTGCACTGGATGAGGCCCTGGTGGTACGGTACTTGAATAGAACCTAACCACAGGTCTAAGAAGAAGAAGAAAAACCCCTTGACCGATCCTTTTAGCACAAGAAGTTATTTTTCAATATGGCTGATGAGCTGTTATTGTGTGCGACTGCTCTTGCCGTTTTAGCAAGAAAAAGGAAAATAAATAAGAGAAATCTTCTGCATCCATACCAGAGTGCAATTTTCTAGTTTTCATAAACGTTTTGAAAACAAGTGCACAATGAAGTGATTCTTTTTATTACCGTGTCTTTATTGGCTGAGGGATCTACCTTTTTTAACATTTCTATTAGTATCTCATACGCAGCATTTTTTTTTGTCTGTCCGAATACTATTTTTTACCTTCCAAAGGCATGGATTTTCCCTGTATAGGGTATAGATTAATGCGATTTGTGAGGAACTCTCTCGACATTAGCCGTATAAGGTCCGATATATTTTAATTCAATAATTTAAGTTGATATTACCCACTAATTTTAATATGTGTACAACAAATTTTACTGCTTGTTAAAAACAAGGAAACTACATATAAGTTGAAAGAACTGCCAGACATTACAACTTGCCGCTAGACAAGTCTGTACGCACAGCGAAATATATCTGACAGGTTTGATTTCACTCAAGCCTAAGAATTGTTTGTACAGATTTAATAAGTCTGCCAACTTATCAGCACTAAAGCAATGATAAATCGTACAACTTGAGTTTGCACAAGCAGGTTGATGTGCATGACGGAATGTCTATCCCGCGCTTTACACCTTTAAGATAAAGTAAAAAAGGAGTTATTTATTAAAAAACGTTTCTTTTCAGTGTAGCAATAACACCCAATTAAATAAAAACAGTTGTAAAAAATTTTACAAATAAATAATTACAGATAACAATAAATACTCACCTCTTGCATACTGGGCCTCTTTGATGGATCGTGATCCCAGCATTCCGTCATCAGATTTTCTATAGGCGGGGGACAATTTCTTAGCAAAGGTGGCCTCTTTCCTTTATGGACGGCCCACATTATGCTAAATGCTGATCCACCTTGATTGTAAAATGGTTTTCGTCGGGAAGTCACTTCCCATAAAATTATGCCCCAGCTAAATATATCACATTTTTCAGTATATTTGGAAGATGTAAAAACCTTAAAAAAAAACAGTTTCAAGTATAAACCAGGGACAGCAAATATCATTGCCTATAAAATGCATATTTGATTCTTTTTTATTTTTTGAGTATTCCTCAAATGTGATAACTAGATTTGGGAATTGTTTATTGTAAATTCCTTGCGATATTTGAACATTATGAAAGTTAATACAATATTAGGCCCAATAAAGTTAACAGTAATTGTAGTACTAGTTAACAAAATGAAATGGAATTTGTGACACATAGTTATATGCATTATGTAATGTTAGCGTGTAATGTGTAAAACGATTTAAAATATCTAAGTCTCAAATTTATCTAAGCCTGCCACTGTTATTTTTCATGTCGTTAAACAATTTTTTTTTTTCATATCATTAAACAATATCTAATAAATGGCCAAGGTCATTTGTTAGTGGAATCACCAGCATAACTAGTTTCAAATATATTAAGCCTTCTAAGTGACAAACAAAATTTCATCAGTATACGTGTATCTATCATGAGGTTATAACGTTTTGCTTGGAGTGAGTTTTGATAGTTGTCAAACGCACATTAAACATCGTACAGCAATAAGGTTCTCTTTTAAAGCTGATAAAACAGCCACGAAACGTGTTACAGACGATGAGGATGTATCACGTCCGACTGTATTCCTCTGGTTCGGAGGGGTTTCATGATGGCCAAGACAGCGTGCACAACAACAAGGGGACAGGGCGTCCCCGCACAAGCCCAACAAACGAAAACAAAGAACCTGCACTGAAATCTAATCGTCGATCAATCATCAGAATGTTGGCAGAGTGTATGATTGATCGATAACTAGACTTCAGGGCAGAATGCACAGCTTTGATGTTTTCGTTCGGCTTGTGCAGGGATGTTCCAGCCTCTCGTCATTGTGCATGTTGTCTGTCATCATAAAACCTTCCAAATGACAGGAACACAGTCAGGGACTTTATTCTTGAATTATAGGGAGTAGAAGGAACGAGAGAAAGGGGGCGTGTCTCTACTAAAACTCATTAATTAATCTTGAATGGTGTTCTATTGTGTAATGATAGAAGAATTGTTCCCTATTTCTTCTATTGATATTTTCGGGGGAACAGGCAGGGATCATTAAACCTAACCCTATATTTTTGACATGTTTCACAAATTACGAATTCCACAATCTGTCTGTAATATCTCTAGTTACTGTTTTGTTGTGATATCCTTCGAGAACTTTCGTATAATTTATGTTTACTTGAAGGATTGTACAGTACTCGAATAAAATAATAATAGAATAAAATGGATTTACTTAAAATAGTATTAAAATATTTGTAAGTACTTCCCAGTTAGCCCTCATTGTCTCTCTAGTGTAGCTGGATGTTAACCTTCCATTTGTTTTTTTACCCTCAATATAATCTATTAGAAGTTCTTTTTGTTTAGAACTTACTGGATTTAGCTTCGGTTCTTTATTGATTTCCATTTTCTTTCTTTTTTAGACTGCACCTGACACTGACAATCACTCTATTCTCTCACCGTCAAGAATCGCTCCTGGAGCTCGATTCTTGACGGTGAGAGAATAGAATGCTCCCTGGGGAACATTCCCTCATTTCGCTCTACTACTGTTCTATCACAAAATTCATACTGTATTCTCGACACAAGAGGATCGAGCCATGAAAGTGAAGAACGAGGAACAATGTTGTCAAATGTACCGACCAATCAAAAAACAGTAAATAGGCGGTAGAATAAAATCTAGTGATGAGTTAGTCATGAAGTAAGTGCTACTTTATTTAAAGTTATTGTTATTTGTTTGTCAGTGTCAGGTGCAGTTTAAAAGGAAAATTCATAAAAAACCGAAGCTAAATCTAGTAAGTTCTAAACAAAAAGAACTTCTAATATATTGAGGATAAAAAATAATGTATACTGGAAAGTTAACACCCAGCTACACTAGAGAGAAAATGAAGGCTAACTGGGAGGAACTTACAAATATTTTAATAATATGCTTTATAACAATATGCTTTATTTCTCCTGAGACATAATACAATGCATGGAAAACGTCAAGTAAATACAATAAAATTCACAATAAGAATTTATACAAATATATAACAAATAAATAACGATGACACAATCATTGACTACAAAGTCAATTTGCTAAATACAAATAACAAACAACAATCAAAGAAAACTACACTCAAAAAATTCACGCACCGTGTAGAACGATTTTGTCAAAAGTAACACTCTACACGACTTTTTGAAGGACGGGATGCTCTGAATATTTCTTATATTAACTGGAAGGTGATTATATATTTTAGGTGCCATAACAAAAGGACCAATAGCTGACTTTGCCAATCTGTGTCTAGGTACCACGACAGCATGCCTATCTCTGAGGTCAAACGTCAAATGTCTATCCGCGAACTGAGTAAATTCAGACTTGTGAACCCTGACGTATATCGCACACTCTAAAATATACATTGAGACTGCGGTCAAGATTCCCAAGTCTTTAAATAATTGGCGACAAGAATGACGCCTTGTTTTAAACAGCATAGTTCGAATGATTCGTTTTTGCGCAATCATTAAATTGTCAATACCCGAACCATTACCCCAACAGAGGATACAATAGCTAAGGATAGGGTAAACCTGTCCTTAGTAATATAACTTCAGTATGTCAACTCACAAACTCCCTTAGCTTCCACATGACAAAGTTATGTTTGGATAGCCCCTTACATAAGTTCACTATGTGAGCCTGCCAGATAAGACACCTGTCAAATGTGACTCCCAGAGACTTCACACAATCATTATCTCTAAGAGATCTCCCATTTAAGGCAACATATAAACTATTATTAGGCAGATCCATTTTATTCTATTATTATTTTATTCGTATACTGTACAATCCTTCAACTAAACACAAATACGAACATTTCCTCAAAGTTCTCGAAGGATATCACCACAAACCAGTATCTAGAGATATCACAGACAGATTGTGGAATTCGTAATTTGTGAAACATGTCAAAAAAAATAGGGTTAGGTTTAATGATACCTGCCTGTTCCCCCAAAATTATCAGTAGAAGAAAATATGGAACAATTTTTCTATTACTCAATCGAACACCTTTCAAGAATACCGATTAATGAGTTTTAGTAGAGAGAAGGAATGAGAGAAAGAGGGCGTCTCTTTCTCTCATTCCTTCTACTCCCTATAATTCAAGGATAAAGTCTCTGGAGCTCGATTCTTGACGGTGAGAGAATAGAATGTTCCCTGGGGAACGTTTCCTCATTTCTATCACAAAATTCATACTGTATTCTCGACACAAAGCGATCGAGGCATGAAAGTGAAAAACGAGGAACGATGTTGTCAAATGTACCGACCAATCAGAAAGCAGTAAATAGGTGGTAGAATCAAAACTAATGATGAGCTAGTCATGAAATAAGTGCTACTTATAATTGTTATTTATTTGTCAGTGTCAGGTGCAGTCTAAAAAGGAAAGAATGTGGAAGTTAATAAAAAATCGAAGCTAAATCCAATAAGTTCTAAACAAAAAGAGCTTCTATTAGAATATATTGAGGGTAAAAAAAATAAATGTACAAATATTTTAATACTATATTAGGCAGATAATTTTATTCTATTATTATTTTATTCGTGTACTGTACAATCCTTCAAGTAAACACAAATTATACAATATCACCAGAAAACAGTAACTAGAGATATTATAGACAGATTGTGGAATTCGTAATTTGTGAAGCATGTCAAAAAATATAGGGTTAGGATTAATGGTCCCTGCCTGTTCCCCTGAAAATATCAGTAGAAGAAATAGGGAACAATTCTTCTATCATCACTCAATAGAACACCATTCAAGAATACCGATTAATAAGTTTTAGTAGAGACACGCCTCATTTCTCTTGTTCCTTCTACTCCCTTTAGTTCAAGAATAAGGTCCCAGATGTGATGCACTCTCCTCACTGTACGCTGTTTGTAATAGTTGATATGTTTCCGTGGGTTTTATCGGCTTTAAAACAGAACTTGATTGCCATATGCTGTTCAATGTGCGTTTTCATGATAACCAATTATCAATGATACTGATGAAATTTTGTTTGGTCGCTATATAAAAAATAAGTGCAAAACACACTTCTTGCCAGTAGGCATTGAGTAGCAATGACATTTATGAAAAAAACATATTCATTTTAACAAATGATACTAATCTCTAATGATTTCAGCTAATAAATCATGATTTTCTTAACTAGCTCGTATTGTACCTTATTTTTTTAACAATATTGTAGAATGTCATTTTTATAGGTCCATTACTATAAAACACTGTATTTAATTCTCAGTTAATAGCTTGGTGATAATAAATCTATTTTAAACTTACCTCAGGTGCCATCCAAGCAGCTGATCCCTTGTTATTTGTCATATAGGTGTTCTTGTCGGCTGCTGTCCCAAAATCGCATATTTTCAAATGTATGCCTCCACTAATTAGTAATAAATTAGGAGGTTTTAAATCTCGATGTATGAGTGGCTTTGGCTGCATTCCATGTAAATATTCAACACCCTGAAAAGTAAATTTAAGTCTGCAAATTGAAAGCACAATGTTTGGGCATAATTTAGTAGAATAATTTTTAATAAACTTACATAAATTTTAAAATTTCCACAGATTCATAAAAAATAATATTGTATTGGTTAATAATAAACTGTAACATATTACATAATTTTAACTTTAAAAGGACAAGGCTACATTTCTTTGTGTACTTCTTATCTGAAAATAGTAACAATCTCCAACTACATCCATGATATAACATTACATTTTTTTATGTCGATAATATATTCATTATATGGCGAGTCCCGCACGGAAGTGAACAAACTTTAAGGGGACATTCTTTAGGTAAAAATAAGCAAAAAAAGTTTATATACAACATACTCAATTTGGTAGTTACAACACAATGCAGTGTATGCATAAAAAATATTTATGCATACTTAGTTAATGACACATTTGTAAAAAAAATAGGTAACTCTTGCAAAATTTTCGTATTTTCATAAGATTTGGTGTAAACAATATTAATACTAGGTATTTACTAAATTTAAATTAAATGGTTTAGTCGTAGTTTTTGAACAGTCCATAGTCAGGATTTCTGTATTCCCTCAAAAACCGATGACATACCTTTGCACACTGATAAGACCATGACATTGCGTGAGCCAATGTGTACTGTAGATTTGAGCGATGTAAAACATTAAATAGTGATCCTCCTTCTGCATATTCCATTACGAGACAAAATTGGAGTCCCTTAGTGCAGGCTCCATATAATTTTACAATATTTTCATGGTCAACTCTTGACAATTGTCGTACCTCTACAAGGAATGCCTTTTTTTCTGCTTCTCGAGATATATTTTTTACAGCTACATATGTTTCGTTCCATATTCCTTTATATACTACACCAAAACTGCCCTCTCCAACAATCTAAAAAAAATGTTTTCGAACTGGAATATGAACTGAAGGCTTGGTTTTTTATATCTGATAACAAAATTGAGTGGTTTTCACTTCAATAAAATAATTTGTCAATTCATTTAACATATAAGCAACATATATATAGTTTAGTAATAAAAAAATGTCTACTAAATTGTCAACACCAGTTTAAAGTATTAGCAAACAGAAAAATGTGTAAATAAAACTTTAGTGTATTACCTCTAACTGTTGTATTTCACTGTGGTCAATTTCTCGAACATTATGTTGATTTTCATTGTCTGAATGGTCTGGAGTCGCCATTGAATATTATTTAATCACATATTTATAAAAAATTGCTTTTATTGCACTAAATACTTCTAAACATTCGTAAATATTTATAGATTTGATAAAACTTTGGTTAGAAATTTTGGAATAAGTGTCAACTGTCAGATAGAGATCAGATGAGCGAAGTAAAAACAAAAATATACCCAACAGTGACTTCATTGTTACCAATATATTATATTTCCTTTGTTCTTTGGATCAGATCAATTCATTTATTACTGATCTAAAAAGAAAATTCTTAATAAATTGATCTAACTCTTAATTAATTAGGGATTTTCCAGTCTACCGCTCTAAACGGATTCCAAGAATAACCTCCAAGCTTAGATATAAACTTAGAAAAACTCACCGTATTCTTTTGCTTTAATTTGTTACTAAATGAGATATAATATACAGTGCTACGAATGGTCTTTGAATGGTCACTGTTACCTTTGACTCGACGGAGACTATTGTCCCCCGACTGACAAACCCCCGGGGCACCCTCCCCGATGACATAAAAAACTTAATACGTAACAGACGACGTGCGAAACGGCTTGCCACCCGCACCCGCCTTCCCCGACACAGACATAACTTAAATGTACTTAACAGACGGGTGAAGGCGGCTCTGGATGAATTGGCCCAGGATAACTGGGCTAGGCACCTGGAGTCGCTGGATCCACAAGACAACAGCCTCTGGAAAACGCAGAGGGCCCTGCGACAGACCGCTCGCCGTAAAATTCCTCCAATCCACGGTAGTGTGGGGGTGGTTTACACGAACCAGGAAAAGGCCGAGGCTTTCGCCGATAGCCTGGAACTGCAGTGTAGACTGCCTCAGCTGCCCGACGAAGACGAGGAATTCGAGATAGTGGCTGAGCGCGCGGCCCGACGCGTCGACAGAGAGCCAGACAATGACATAATCCCCCCCGCAACACCTGACGAACTAAGACTGACAATACGCAGACTTAAAAACAGAAAAGCCCCCGGACCCGACAATATACATAACACGACACTTAAACGACTACCACACAAGGGCCTCATGGCCCTACTAAACATAACAAACGCGACACTCAGACTAAGACACTTCCCTACCCGCTGGAAAACAGCAAACATAATCCTTATCCCAAAACCCAACAAAGATCACACCATCCCATCCAACTACCGGCCCATTAGCCTGCTCCCGGCTATGAGCAAAGTGGTAGAAAAAATTATCCTAACCCGTCTAAGAACCCACTCCCAAGAACTGCAAGTCATTCCAGACGAGCAGTTCGCCTTCCGACCCAATCACTCCACTGAACTCCAAATCCTTCGCCTTACCGAGCACATCACGGCGGCCTTCAACAGGGGACAGTACACTGGTGCTGTCTTCCTGGACGTCGCAAAGGCCTTCGATACGGTTTGGCATGAAGGCCTACTGATGAAAATGCTCACCAACCAATATCCCATATCCTTTACCAAACTCATAAAATCCTACCTACACCACCGAAAATTCCGCATCCAAATCCAAGATTCCCTTTCCACCACCCGTCCCATGGAGGCCGGTGTCCCCCAGGGCACCGTCCTGTCCCCACACCTATACACCATTTACAACTCCGACATCCCACATCCCCCCAACACCAACATATACTTATACGCCGACGACCTGACAATCACATCCCAATCCGTAGATCCTAGATATTCCGTCTACCTCCTCCAAAGCTCCTTAGACCAACTTGAAACCTGGTGCAACAGGTGGAAAGTCAAAATTAATCCCAACAAAAGTTCGGCTATCCTTTTTACCAAACGAAAAATCCCACAAAACCTTGACAGACTGACACTATCCCAGGAACCCATCTCCTGGAATCGACAAACACGATACCTGGGCGTGACGATGGACCAGCGTCTCACGTGGAAACCGCACATCGTGGAGACGGTGGCGCGAGCGAAGACCACCAGGGCTAGGCTCTATCCCTTACTCAAAGGTGGAAACACCCTCAGTTTAAGGAATAAGCGAACGCTTATCAAGGTGGTACTTCAACCGCAGCTAACCTACGCCTCCACGGCGTGGGGTCACGCGGCAAAAAGCCACTTAAAGTCATTACAGGCTGTGGAAAACATAGCCCTCCGCACGGCCACCGACGCGCCCTGGTACGTAAGAAACACTGACATATTACGAGACTTACAATACACAAACGCTACACAGACAATAAGACAAAACGCGGAGAAACGATTTGACGTAGCCGCTAGACATGACAATCCCCTCCTCAGGCAAGCCGTTGACTACGTACCCGACGTGACCGACAAACACAAAAGACCTAGACACCAACTTTTTGACCCTGGGTGACCACCCCAATGACCCCCCCCCTGCCCGCTAACCTTTTCTGTTTCAGAGACAGCCAGGATCAAGAAACGAAGACAACGACACACACACACACACACACACACACCCCCCATACCCTCCTTAACCCTCCCCTCCCGCGCTAGCCTAAGGGCCACCTTAGCAAAGCGCATCCCAGGCTGCATAGCCGCACTACCCTACCCAACCATACCACACATAAACATGACACTACCCCCGGGGTTTACACAGACGAGCCGGCGAAGCAAGAAGAGCGCCAGAAGAAAGGGCCCTAGCCGGCGGGGCCCAGCCAGGACAAAAGGAGGTCCCACAAAGCGCCTACACCGGCCGCATTTGCGGTCGGGGTAGACGACGGATGGGGCCCACCTACGAAGGCTGTCCAGGCCTACACGAGATGAGGCAGGATAAAGAGGGATAATCCCCCTCGATCCCAAATCATTGAGGCCAATTTCTAGCCATGGAATAATGGCGTGTTACCTTTGACTATAGTCAAGGCTGTTAAATGCGGTTAAACTTACTGACGATATTGCAGGAAACAACTACTCTGCGGATTATATACTAGCTCATCTATGGCATACTGATAGATACAAATAAATTTGACACGGGTATATGTCTGGTGATCAATGATTCTAGTTTTTACTAGTTACTAGATATCATGGGTATAATTAAATGCTGGTCGGGGCATGTAGCCCGCAAAGTAGTTGTTTCCAGCAGATTACTGTGTATTAAGGTAAAAAATAATGTAAATGGTCAATTGGAGAAATATTATGATATACCGGGATTCAGTTTGGTATTGGCGGTCCTGTATCTCTTTTATTTTAACAAACTCTATATATTTTTAAATCGCCCCCTCAAACCCTATCAAATGACATTACCAGATCGTCTCCATGTAACATATGTCAAAATTGCTATAGTCAACTGTTTTTATTCAAATGGCACACTATATATTTTTTTATATTTATCAGTTCTGGAAGATATTGTTTTTCTGCGTTCAGCTATATAAGGAAGTCTATAGTTTCATTAGAAATATTGCTAGAAAAACAGCAAAAAAGATGAACTCTACTTTCATTAGCTTTATTCTGAAAAATGATAACCAGCTGCGAAAACAAGTTATTATGTTTTTGAAAGTAACATATTTTATTTTTAATACGATAATAATAACAATTTAAAACAATATACTTATTTCAAATGTTCCAAATGACCTCCATTTGCTTTCAAACATAGAACAGCTTTGTTTATCACTCCCTTTCTACAAACACATTATACTGTTGCTTCATTTAATCTCCGACATTCTACTCTTATTCTGTCTTTAAGATAAATATCATTTAGGTAAGGCCAAAGAAAGAAATCTATAGGGGTGAGACCCGGAGATCTAGCAGGCCATTTAACATCTTTATCGAATGTTCTTCATCTCTTGCCCTTCTGAGTTTAAAAACCCTTCTTTTCTTTTGAAAACTTCCATCTGCCGCCAAATTCCTGGCTAACTTCTCGAAATTTTTTTCTGATGGAAGTTGTCTGCGGGAAACGATGTTGGCACCTATAAATACCTGGCAGCTATAGCGTTCTTTCAGCTTTTTCCATACATGAAAATCATATCTAGTTTTTCTTGGTTACTGTATAAGTATTCGTGTTATAATTATTAGTTATAGATATAATAGGTAGGTAGGTACAGAATGTTAATTATTTTGACAAACCGTTATTTAGAAACGTCAAAATTCAGTTGTTTCCGCAGCTGGCTATAATTTTTCAGAATAAAGCTGTTTTTCTAGCAATATTTCTAATGAAACTATAGACTTCCTTGTATAGCTGAACGCAGAAAAACAATATCTTCCAGAATTGATAATGATAAAAAAATATATAGTGTGCCATTTGAAGAAAACAATTGACTATAGCAATTTTGACACATGTTACCATGGAGACGATCTAATAATGTCACTTGATAGAGTTTCAGCGGCGATTTAAAAATATATAGGGTTTGTTATAGCTATTTGTTAAAATAAAAAAGATACGAGGCCGCGAATATCAAACTGAATCACCCGGTATAAAAGAAATATAATTTCAAAAGTCATACAAGTCTATTATAACATTGCATCAGTTTTAATGTTTCGAAGTGTTCATGCATATTAGCTATTTTCATGGGTGTGTAGTCAAAGTTGTCTCTGATGTTAACAATTCCTCCCATTTTTAAGAGAGATTCTGCTACCGGGATGTATCCTGTCATGGCAACCATATGCATGCAGCTTCTGTTACTCAATGCATCGGTTGCATTAATATTTTTTCCATGCCTGATTAAAATGTTAATAATGTTTGCCTGCAATGGTGTCGTGCAGTTTAGGACGCACTCTGAAAAAAAAATGTTATTGGATATAACTGATAGTTAATGACCTAATGGACAAAAATTACTTTATCCAACACTTGTATATAATGACACTATAATTTCTTTGGTTTCAAAGGAATAATATGTGACCTATATAACTCACTAGTGAGTTATGTTATAAGTCACCAATGAGTAATAAAACTCTTGGTTACAGACACAATTTAGGTTGACACTCACATCCTTTGTAATATTTAAAAATACATTCAATTTCGTTAAATTACTTTTTCTTACATTGACAACTTGAAATTTTAAGTTACTTTTATTTATTATTAAAACGAGTGATATATAGTATTTATGGATAAAAACCTTAAAACTGGTACGATTTATATTCTCCTGTCAGTATTATCATTGAGGTATCAAGAGCAGGTTTGTTTTCCTAAGATTAGATGTCGACCGGAGGTTTGATATTAGATTTATATATTTTCAATTTTTTTGTAGTAACATCTACGTAGTTTTATTAAATTTATTCCAAAGTTAAAGGGCGTTAGGAAAAAAAGAAAAAGAAGTATGGAAGACATACGTTTTTTTAGAATGTTTTATATTATGTGTTTTTAAAATAATAATGAAAAAAAAAATACTCTTGAGTGTTCAAACTTTCGAAACTTTAATTGTTTTCTTTATCTGGAAAATTAATTGAGAATGTAATTTCAAGTTAACATGAATGGTGTCATTACATATGGGTTACAAATTATAGTATATGTATAATCGTTAAATCTTAAAATTCTCACACAGCACAAAGCACAACAGGACCGTCTTAACCGTATTGGGCGCCGGGGTGCGAACATTAGCCTGCGTCCCCCTTACCAACAAAAAAATATAAAATAAAATTTAATTTTTGTTCCATTTTTTTTATTTAATACTTTTAAGTTGGCAAACTTTTTAAAAATATCGTCTGTTTTGAAATCTACTTTCGATTCGATACTTATTATGGCCAAATTTGTCAATCTATTTTGGATCATGGTTGATCGAAAATAGTTTTTTTTAATTTCAATTTTGAAAACGACTGTCACAGGAAGTGTTTAATATATTACGTAAAGATGTTGTAACATTAGGAAATACGGACATTAAATTATTGGATTTCGCGGCCAACTTCTGTGACTGCTGATAAACGACGAATTTGTTCTTCGTCTTCCTTCTTTGAACGTACCTTCCATTTCGTGAATTAGACCGAAAGTTTCCGGTTTCTCCTAATCTGGTGAATAAGGAAGCAAACAATGTATGAGAAGGCTGTCTGCGATTCGGATAAAGTTCTTCATAATAATATGTTCTTTAGCAACGCGTCCACTAAAATGTTCCTGTACATCATACCACTTATCATGTCTGTCATTTCACAATTCGTAAATTCATTGTGACGAGGCATTTTCAGAAATAAACTTTTCTAAAATATAAACTTGACAGTGACTTATCGAAATTGTCATGTTATGGATATGTAGTTATTTCCAAAAAATATGGGGTATGTGTTAATAAATATTTTCTGTAATATCTTCATAACCGAGCATAATTTCGACTTTTGATTGATATACATTTTTTGTGTAGAATAAAATTCTCTACCTATTTCTGATCATTGCGTGTAAAAATTTAAATGTACAAAAAAGTTAGAGAAGAATATTCACAAAGGGTTGTAGTAAAGTGAACGCCCTGTATAATTTAACTAATAGGAACATAATCACTGCAAGTTTTGTTCTAAATGGTTAACTGGGTTCTAAGTTAAGGGAAAAATAAGAAATAAAAAAAACTTTAACACTAATTTTTTTGCGGCATTTTTGGTTTAAGTTTGGTTAAATCGACACCACTTGGGTTCTAGATTATACCATTGAAGTATGTAATATTCGTTAGGTGACACTCTGTATTAACGCAATTTTTTTATATAAGGCCAGTTAGCCATTAAATTTGGTTCAAGGTGCTAGTGCATGGTGAAAATGTGCCTTTCGGACCAAATGTAGGTATATTTAGATGTTTTGGTTCATCGGCCATTATTTTTAGCTAGTGATCAATTTTATTAATATCGATTTGCAGTTCCTTGAGGTTGGATCAGTAAGATATGCTAAAACTCATCAACATGTTACTACAATGGTGTCTTTTGTTGTTGGTAGTTGTATAGAGAGGATATAATATAAGTTCTAGGATACCATCTCATTCAGAGTATTCATTGCCTTGTTTTACCAATAAATGTATAGGTACTTGTTATATAGGATCTGTGTAAAAGAAGACAAAGATAAGGGAAAAATTTCTTTGACATTCAATATATTGTGCCATATCTTAATAAAAGCCTGCGGCATGTTGATACGTTGAAAAAAAAAATAGTATATAGATATCGCAAAAAATTGATATTAATCATCCATTGGATTTTTTTTTTTCGATAAGGCAGATACCCTTATTTTTTGCGCCATGTAGGTGCCTACCACCCGTTCAAAAAATATTTGAAGACAAATTAGTACCACCTTGATTTATTATGTAGGTATATTACTATTAAGTAGAACCCTTAACATTTGTACATACTTAGTTAAAATGAAAATAATATCTAATATTTATCTATAATTTTAATTATACTTACTTACCCAATAGTAAGTCTATAGTACCCGGCCTTTCCAGATTGACATCAGCATTGTGTTCCAATAATAATCTTACCATGGCTGGACTTGGCTTGTCTATACAAGCTATTGACAAAGGTGTACTACCAAAAACGTCTATGGCATTAACATCTGCTCCCGCATTAAGCAGTGAACGAGTGGCATTGAAATTTCCGATCCTCACTGTATAATGTAACCGAGTCCTTTCAAAAGTATCCCGGGAATTTGGATCAATAACGAAATCATTGTCGGTGGTATACATTTTGCAAATGGAAACATTGTGTTTGTTATCTCCGTTGCCTTATCTTTGTACAATCTCAATCCAGTAGTTATTCTTTGAATTGATTATTTGGGTTTTTGGCTGAGTAATACATAGGTTGATAGCGTAAAATTTCAATGAATTTTAACGTAGGTATCTGAAATTTAGAAATCTGAAGGGTCGACTTTACACTGAAATTATAAAATTACACGTTTGAAAAGTAATATTTTGGCGCAGTGTTATTTAGTTAAAATGTTTTTTTTTTCAGTGTGGTGGAAATATCTAATCAAATAAATTTTACAACGATGGGTAAAAAAAAGGTTTGATTAAAACAAAAAATAAAAATTACAATATATTTGCTACTGTTGTGAGGCGCCATAATGAAAGTAGCATGATAAAATTCATGTTATTTTCACCAAAAGATTCTACGGTTGACGACTTGATTAACTGCGACACCCTGTATAATTCTAGGAAATTATTTCTTTAATTAGTCGAAAAATGCAGTTATTAGTCTTCTTCCTTAACCTTCCAAAGTATGAAAACTATTAGAATCTGCAATAAATACAGAAGTACAGGAATATTTAATTAGAAAAAAAAAGGTTTTTTAGGTTTCAATCAGGTTTTCGTCCGCAGTATAATTAATTATACAACTGCATTATTTAAAGTTCGTGATGATATTTGAGTTAATCATGATGCAAAATTAACATATCTAATCGCAGATTTTAGTAAAGTATGTAATTTATTCTATAAATTGTGATTTGATGCTACTTTGAGTAAAGGGGTACCTAAAACCGCCCTGTACTAATCAAGCTTCAGCGCAGCGATCCAGAGAGTACGACGTAGGTACATTTTTCACCTCACTTTTCAAAATTCCGCCGTCGCGTCGCTCAGAATCGCTCCATACATAGCGGCCGACGACCTATATTGTCTGTGCTGATTGTTAGTTTATTTAAGTAATCCATAATATATTACACAGAATCCGAAAATAAGAAAAATCTTTTTTCATTTAAAACACTGGTTTAAGAAATGTTTTAGTTTTGTTATTTAAAATATAACTGGTGGTTCTAATTCTTTTCCATAGTAAAACGTGACTTATCACTGTAGGTATATTATACTCTTTAGGAACGTTACATTTTATAATTAAATGAAATAACACCAACAGAGTAAACAACATAATACATACATAAAATAATATCCTATTCAGGCAACCCATAATACACATTTCCCTACTTATATAAAATAATCTATACAAATATGGTAACGCAAATAGGTAGGTACTGAAAATGAGATTCGAACTCTATAAAGATAAGATTATGTTTTCAAAATATTTTGATTTTATTTTATTAAGTAATACATGTTTACAAACGTATAAAGGATTTTTTAATGGTAGGGAGAATGCGTCAATAATATCTCAGCATTTTCAAAATAAGAATCGCTGAAAATACAAAAGGGTGCTAAAAATCAATAATATTCAAAATTGTTAAAATCCATTGAGAACCTGGAATCGTGGAATGAAATCGTCCCCCAATTACATACAATATACCTAAGAGGTGAATAGGCCAACCAACTGAGCGAAAAAAGAGGCTGTTTTTACACTTAAACATTACAGCAAATTTCATGTACTTCCTTTTGAAAATACTTAGTAAATGAAAACCCAAGTGATTTCCCCAGCAAAGTCGTGAACAATTTTTTTTAAACAATAAAATCTGCAAAAAATGACATTTTTTTGTTTTTTTTTTATAATATCCCGAAAAATAATGATGGAATCGTTTTACTCTCCATAGGACTTTTGTAGAGAATAAAAAAAAACTATAAAATGGTTTTTTGTGCGACCCGATCGGTTCATTTTTTACAAAGAAAATCTGAAAAAACCTCTAAAATAGACCCGTTTTTAAAAATTAACTCTGTTAAATTTGAAGCTGGAAAAACAATCTTGCGGAAAATGACAGATAATAATATGTAGTTTAATCGTGCGCGATGCATAGCTTTTGCACAATTACATTATAAACAAATTAGGTTTTTTTTTGCACAGCGTGGCGATTTGTCAAAAATGGTCCGATTTAAATTCTGAAAACGGCATCTGAAAGTAGACGACAAATGTCCCCAATTTGTATATCTCGGATTTTCGCCTGGATGATGGGAAGAGTTCTCTGCTCGTTGGTTCCCCCACTACCGCTGTCCGAATATGGCTCGAGTGTACTTTCGATCGTTTCGGGCGACTTTCAAGGGCATTTTTAGCATATTTCCCACCACCCAGGCGAAAATCCGAGATATACAAATTGGAGATTTTGTCGTCTACTCTCAGATATCGTTTTCAGAATTTAAATTGGACCATTTTTGATAAATCGCCACGCTGTGCAAAAAAAAACTCTAATATGTTTATAATGCAATTGTGCAAAATCTATGCATCGGACAGAAACCATCTTGCACACGATTAAACTACATATTATTATCTGTCATTTTTCACGGACTTATGAATTTTTGAAAAAAGGTCTATTTTAGAGGTTTTTCCGGATTTTCTCTGTAAAAAATGAATCGATCGGGTCGCACAAAAAAACATTTTATAGGTTTTTTTTATTCTCTACAAAAGTCCTATTGAGAATACGACGATTCCGTCATTATTTTTCGAGATATTATAAAAAAACAAAAAAAAAAACTTTTTTGCAGTTTTTATTGTTTAAAAAAATGTTCACGACTTTGCTGGGGAAATCACTTGGGTTTTCATTGACTAAGTATTTTTCAAAAGGTAACGCATGTTTGCTGTAATATTTAAGTAATTTTTTCTGCCGTACCCGGACTTTTGGATAGCCCTGTATATAGATTCCTACTGGTTATTTATTTGACTGTCGCCACAAGGTTTCCAATATTTATAACAAATTTTATTATATTTCAGTAGTAACTGAATTAATTTCGCGTTTGTTTGTTTCAGATATGTGTTTCGACTTATGCTCGAATTTATCGGAAAAAATAGATAAAAGTTGCTTTTGATGAGAAAAGGGTGATTAAAATTTTGGCTGCATTCACTCTACATAAAATGATATGGAATTTAACTGTAAACAATACGTTTCTTGACACACAGTTAGAGAAGATGTTTCTTTTTGGTATGTTGATATTCCTATTACAAAATATTAATAAAAACTATTGATTTACATAATATTGAAATACTTATTAACAAATATGATATTTTCGTGCGGAAAAGCACACTAAATTAGTATAAAAATATTTTTTATTTATTCTCACAATACATTGTATTCTCAAATACATGTAGATAAGAGAACAGAATAAATTGTTTTGATATCTTTAAAACTTAGCCGCTTTCATTTGATTTCACATGTCGACAATTCTTACAAATATTAAAATATGTTAACCTTTTATTTTCAGTTTGTTATATTTAATTGAATCGAAAATTTATAGATAAGATTGAAGTGTAACTTTTTATTAATTTAGTGTATCAGATAATCATTTTTCTAAAGTAGTCCTTGAAGTCCTTGAAGTAAACACCATCAGATGTAAGTACTTATATAAACAATAATATGTGAATTGTTTTTGTCAGTCCCAATTTTAAATTACTATTTTTAGCCATGATTGTACATTTCTTTTAAAGTCGAAATAACAGTAAATATACAATAATAATAACAGTTAATATCAATAGTAGGAGTTACAGTAAATTACTTTTTATGTAAAAAGCTACTCAAACCTAGAAAGAAGTAAATTTTGCCACAAATTTATTAAAATTTTAATGGTAGCTACAGGGTGATCCATAGTTCTATTTTTTGTTGCGATGGGGTGTTTGCATAAGAAAAACATATAGTGTTTTGTCGCTAAATACGATTCTGCAATGAATGTTAATGCGAACTTGGAAGTAATTTCGCTAAAAACTCCTTATACAAATTTTTATTTGATTTAAAAAGAAGTTAATTTGAACCGTTTGTCGTTGTTATCAATTGTGATATGCTGTTACAGAAAACTACTTAGTTAAGTAACTCCCCTCTGTCTTTTTATAAGTAAATAAAATGAGGACAGGGTATGAGATTCTTGTTGAACTTCCTATCAATAAATGGCGCAATTAAGACAGTTTAGCATAGCACGTCACAGCTGTAAGTCAAATTCGTTTTAGTTTTATATTCCTTTTTATGTAAATTGTAAATAATGGTTTCATATAAAAATAAGACAGTATAGGACAAGTTTTTTGTCACATTATTTAATGTTTTGGTAATATCTGAAAAGGTGATAACACGCCATTTATTCCTTTGAGGATAATATATTTCATTGGGGCAAAATGTAGTGTCATATTGTCCCCTCCATTCAGGACCGGCGCAAGGGTATTAAAAGCCCGAAGCAAATATTTGTAGTTTTAAGAAAAAAATATTTGCTTGTCACTACTTTAAAAAAATTTTGTTTAAATAAAAAACTTTAAAAAAATAAAAGACAAAAAAGAAATACAAAAATAATAAAATAAAAAATATTCTACCGGAAAAATATGAATTGTTATAAGAAACATTCCATAAAAAATAAAGGAGATACTTATTGAAATAAAACCAAACAATATCAATTGTCTGGTGAGTCATTGTCACCTTTTCATTGGCATAATAGAATACTCAGATAAATATTAGGTACTTTTAATTAAAATTAAAATAACAAAGACAGCCTTATAACTGTCACATCTTATGTTCTACCATAATTCTTTATATTGTAATACATCAAAAAGGACAGTTTATCGCGTAATTAAAGAATGAGACGTTGTTAATCACGGTACAAAGGGAAACGGAAAAATACAAAATTAAAGAATACTGACGATTTTACCAGAGATGTAATACGGCTCACAATTTATAATATGTGTAAAGAAAATAAAGTTCCTACTTTAAACATGATTCGAGATAAATTAAGCGATTATCCTGATTATAATTATAAATCTTTAGATATTTACATGTTTTAGTATAGTTTTTCCGAAGTCAATTGAAGAACAAATATCTTTAAGGTATGTACCAGGC